TAGATTTCTAGGCCGAGATTCCTCAGAAACGTCTCCTTATATTCTAGCATCCCCGTCACGGTGGTCTGGTCAGCCTATTTGGTAGGGGCATCTTCCCCATTCCCTGGCTTCAGGTCCTGCACATGTACGTGCCTAAGCCATCGTCCCCTCTTATCTTTTAAATCGTAGATAACGGGGGTGACAATTCGGCCTATTACGTACGGACCGGCGTATTTTGGCGCGAGTTTGGCGTTCACGCCTGCGGCCTTGTTTGACAGAGGGTGTTCTCTGCGCCACACTGTCGCGCCGATCTTCGGCCGCCAATCCCGTCGCCGCATATTGTAATACGGCTCTTGCCTCTGAAAAGCTCTGGCGAGATTGACAGTAATTAGCTCCCGGGCCTCGTCCAGGTGGCGCCGCCAGGCTGTCGTCGGAATCGGTACAGGCGGGTGTGTTCGATCTTCGGGATGCGGTGGTGATAGTTCGCGCCCGTAATTGGCGAACGCGGGCGTGAGTCCGGTTGCGTCGTGACATGCGCTGTTGTATGCGTATTGGAGCGCGAGAATGTGGCGATCCCATTGGCGGTGGTCGCGTCCGACGAATTGTCCGATCATGGTCTTTATCGTTTTATTGGTCCGCTCGACTGGATTGCATTGCGGCGTATAGATCGGTGTGGTGCGGTGCGCTATCCCGAATGACTTTAATAAGTCTTTAAACTGGCGGGATATGAATTGCCGGCCGTTGTCCGAGACGATAAGTTCGGGGCAACCGTGCCGGTATATGATTCGCTCCGCTACTGTTTTACATATTGCCTCGCTCGTGGCCTTGCGCAGGGGTTGCAATTCAACCCACTTGGTGAACCGGTCTTGTAAGACGAAAAGCCACGAGTGGCCGTTCGTGGAGCGTGGTAGCGGCCCCACTAAGTCGATCGTGACTTGCTGCCACGGCGCGGTGACATTGTGCGCGTGGGCGCGTCCGGCAGGCTTACCTTGGTACGCTTTATGGGCGAGACAGTTTTCGCAATTTCGCACGTGGCGAGCGATATCGCGGAACATTCCGGGCCAGTAGTATCGCCTGGTCACGCGGTGAATTGTTTTCGCTACGCCTAAATGTCCCGCGGTCGGTTCGTCGTGGAATCGACGCATGACCCCCTCCCGTTCGGGGCGAGAGAGACAGCGTTTCCATTGCTCTTGCTCGGTGTGTTCGCGAAACTCTAAATCGTGTCGGAGGTGGCGGTAAAGTTTCCCCCCTTGGATGGTGTAATCGGGGTAGCTCGCAGGCTCCCTTTTTACCTTCTTCAGGAGGTTGTCATACCACGCACATCTCGCCGTCTGGGCGGCGCAGGTTTCCGGTTCCCGGGAAAGCGCGTCGGCAACTTTATTTAACGTTCCGCGCCGGTACCGGATGTCGAAGCTGTATTGCTGCAGCTCGAAAAGCCAGCGTCCGAGGCGGCCGGTGGGGGTTTCTAGGCTCATTAGCCAGCGGAGCGATTGGTGGTCGGTGATTACCGTGAAGGAATATCCTTCCAAGTAGTCCCGCATCCGGCGGATCCCCCAGACGACCGCGAGGCATTCCAATTCTGTCGCGCTGTAATTCTTCTTGGCCGGATTTAAAGTGCGGCTTGCGTACGCTATTACCCGTTCGCCCTCGGCGAAATCTTGCGTTAGAACGGCCCCGAGTCCGTACGTGCTTGCGTCTGTTTATAATACGAACGGTAGCCGGAAGTCGGGGCAAGCGAGCACAGGCGCGGTTATGAGCGCGTTTTTAAGTGCGTTGAAGGCGCTCTCTTCCTCTGGTCCCCATTGCCAGCGCGCATTTTTCCGCGTTAGCTTTGTAAGTGGTGCGGATACGGCGGAGAAGTCTTTAATGAACCGGCGGTACCACGAGGCCATGCCGAGGAACTGGCGTACCTTTCTAATTGTGGTAGGAGCCGGCCATTGAGATACGGCGCTTATCTTTGCGGGATCGGTGTGAATGCCTTCCCGCGAAATGACATGTCCGAGATATGTGAGTTCGGTCCGGCAGAAGTGGCATTTATCTGGATTTAGCCGTAGTCTGGCTTCTCGAAGGCGGCGGAATACTTCAGCTAAATGTTGTAGGTGTTCGCTAAACGTAGCGCTGGCAACAATGATGTCGTCGAGATAGACGAACACGTTGGGCTCCAACGCGGGGCCCAATACGGTATCGAGCAACCGCTGAAAGGTTGCTGGGGCGGAATGCAGTCTGAACGGCATTACTCGGAACTGCATCAACCCCTTCCCGGGTACGGTGAAAGCGGTGATTGGCCGGCTTGCGGCCATTAGTGGCACTTGCCAGTACCCGCTCCTGAGGTCAAGTGTTGACAGGTACTTCGCGCCTCTTAATTTGTCGAGTGTGGCCGTAATGTGAGGGAGAGGGTACGCGTCGCGTTCGGTCACGGCGTTGACTTTCCGAAAATCTATGCAGAAGCGGGGCTTGCCGTCCTTCTTTTTCACAATTACGACCGGTGAGCTCCAGGCACTCTGCGACGGCTCGATCACCCTTTCTCGTTCCATTTCTTCCACGGCCTCGTTGATGATTCCTTGCATGGCCGGATTGCGGGGGCGGTAACGCTGTTTGATTGGCCGCGGGTCCGTTAGTCGGAAGTGATGCTCTACGCGATTGGTGGGTCCGGTGACGTTTTGAAAGAGTGCAAGCTCCCGCTCTAGGAAAACGCGTAATTGCCGCGTCTCGGAATCGGTGCGCGGGGTTAGGCCGTTTGAAATGGTGCCGGTACGGCCGGATATCGGTGCGAGTGTCGGTAGTGGTGGGGGCGGAAGCACGATTCCCAGGTGGGCCCACAAATCCACCCCTATCAACATGTCGCTCCCGAGCGCTGGTAGGACCTGGAACTCGTGGGAAAATTTTCTCCCTCCCAGGTCTATTTCCAGTTCGTAGCTTTTGGTGATAGGGGCAGATCCGCCGTCAGCTACCGTAACGTGTTCGAGTATTGAGCGAGAGCGATAGCCCTTCTCGGAGATATACCCGGCGAGCGTGTCGTTAATAAACGATCGGTCGGAGCCCGAGTCGAGGAGGGCCAATACGATCTTTCCGCAGCACGTTTAAGTGCGGTCGCGGCCGGTAAATGATTTCTAATTGGACCGGTCGGCGGCCGCCGTTGCCCCGGCCCGTGTGGCGTTTCCCGCCGGCGGATGGCAGTCACGGGTAAAAACGCCGTCTTTCCCGCATCGGGAACAAAATTTGCGTGGCGGTCGCTTGCAGTCCAGCCGGGTGTGGCCCCGCTGCTTGCATCGCCAGCAACAGTCTTCTCGACTATACTCGGCGGCGGCCACGTTCCGGTCCTCCAGTATCTTTCGGTCCCGCTGGCGGCGCTGCTCTATCAGCTCTTCGTATTCTTCCGCCCGGTCGGATAACTCGTAATAATCGATCGCGTCGTGCGGTCGAATATAGAGACGGTATTCGGGGTCCATATTTTCGATTAATAGATCGATCGTTTCGGCTTCTGAAAACCCCCCAGCGCGGCGCGCGATTGTGAGCAGTGCGGTTGAAAACTTTTTAAAAGTTTCGCCCGGTAGCTGGCGGCGGCTAGTGGCTTCCCGTCGTAGGCGGGCCTGGTAACGGCGCGGTAAGAAATGCCCGCGAAATTCCCCTAGGAAATCCCCCCAGTTTTTCCACGCGTGGCGGCGGTTTCGAACCATAGTAACGGCTCGCCTTTTAGAATCTCGGGCAACCCGAGGAGGAGATGGGCCCCGGAGAAGTGGTACCCCTCCCTTAGCTCTTCGAGTCGTTCGAGGAACGCGGCCGGATCCCTGCCATCAAAATGGCATCCCCACTTGCGGATCTGGTCCATGGTTTTTGCCGGATCAAATGGGCTGGCTATGGGGACCGGGGGGTTGGAGGTCGAGTAGAAACTCGCTCGATCGTCGTCGTCGTAAGAATTGGCGGAGAGCCGTAGCGACGGAATATTTAAAGCTTCGCGAGCGGGCGCGGGGCCCTCGGTGTCGGATGCCTCGGGTTTCGGGGGTGCGATATCCCCCGGATTTGCGCGGACGTATTCGCGTAACCGGCGTCGGAGGTCATCTAAAGTGCCGGTGCAATCGACGTTGCGGCTTTGCAAGAGTCGCGATATTTCGGAGCGCGCTAATTGCTGTATCCACGCGGTCATCGCGAGTGGATCCTTTTGGCGTGCCCCTTTATCAGGTCCCTGTTCGGGCGCCACGAAACGGTACGTTGTCTTGCGCGGAGTAACTCGTCGGAGTCAGGAGTTCGGTCGGTTGGGGGCACGCAGAAGAATGCTCGGATGAAATAAATAAAATGTAGTAATAAAACAAGATTTATTTCTTAACTGATGAAGTCTATACTTTACAAATCCGTGTGGATACAGAGCGTTTTAATATGTTG